ATTCCAAAAAATTGAACAATTCAATAAAATTTCAGCAATTTCAGCAATTCAATAAAAACAAAACATTAATGTAGTTAAACCATTTCAATGAAAAAAAAAAAAAAAAAAAACAAAACAAAAATTATTATTCTTTTGATAAGAAAAATTTTCGTAGATAAAACTCGAAGAGGCCATTTCAATGAAATAAAAAAAAAACAAAAAAAAAAACAAAAATTATTATTCTTTTGATAAGAAAAATTTTCGTAGATAAAACTCGAAGAGGGCACGTGCTATCTATAATTGATTTCAAAATAACAATAATGATACCGGTGAATAACATATGTAAGTAGTAGGTTAACAAATAACATTGTTATCTGTACAATACTGCAAGCATTTGTTCCACTAGAATGAAGTCATCAGAGTTGGAAAAAAAAAAACACAACAGTAGACACGCAAACCAAAAAATGGTTTACATTGTAAAGAGTATTTTCTGCAAAAAATGGTTTAGGACATTGAAACAGTTTCTCCATTGAATGCTTATTACTAAGAACTATCCTGTTTCAAAACTTCGGCTTCAGCCCTCGCCATTGGGTCGTCCTTGGTATCTGTTTCTTCTTCCTTTTCCCCTTCTCGCTCTTGGGCCATTTTCTTTCTATGCAACTCCTCTGCTGCCTCCATTGTAGCCCGATTCTCTGCCTGAATACGCTGCATCTCTTCTTCTTGTTGCTGCCGTTCAAACCATGTGTCCGCATCCGCCCAAACTGAGAAATTGAGGAAAAAAATGAAAATGTTAACACTTATTTTAAACTGTAACCCACAAGAGCAATACAACTGTCAAATGGCAAACCTGAAACTGATATTAACGCGCCACCAGAATATATTTGAGAAAGCAATTATAATCTTAAAATTTGTGCCTCTTGCCGAAGTCAATATAATATATAAGTGAAATCAACTAGAAATAAAAAGGGGAAAAATCATAATGTTGGAAGCCTCTATCCAAACAGAATGGATTGGATAAATAAGACAACCATCTAAGAAAGATAGGTAAAGAATCAAACTAAAAACAAAAATGCACTTGAGAACATGAATTCTTTCATGAGAACAGTAAGTCAGTGACAAATAGAGGAAAAATATGCAATGCTGTACATGAGATTAAACTGTAGAAGCACAGCTATATGCAGATATGACCACGTGACGGAAAAATGAGTAGATGATCTTGTTTCCAAATTTTTTCTTTCTTTCTTGTGGACATTAACGTATTTGTTTTGGACATTAGCTTTCCACGCCACAAGAAAGCTATTCTTTTTTCAACATGCACCAAAGCATGCTGAGAAGCGAGCTACACTGCATAAAAAACATACTTAAGATTGGGTTTGAGTACTGTAGTCATGGACCGGAATTGAAACAAGTTCCGATCCCAAGGCTTCATCCAACTAGTAAATGGCCAAGAGAAGGGCTTATTATTGACAGGGCCACTTAGACAAGATGTTTTGTTCATAACATTCTATTCGCTTTGAAAGTCATGTATCTGAACAAAACGTGCACCAATTATGAAGCGTGAATACTTATACAAGGGAGTCATATCCGTATCATACAGGGTACCGACACTCCTCCAATATTTATCAAATACTTTCTAAACTTATTCACAATTATAAATTAATTTTCTTTAATTTTGAATAAGTATCGGATAAAAAACATACTTAAGATTGGGTTTGAGTACTTCAGTCATGGACTGGAATTGAAACAAGTTTCGATCCCAAGGCTTCATCGAACTAGTAAATGGTCAAGGGAAGGGCTTATTATCGACAGGGCCACTTAGGCAAGGTGTTTTGTTCATAACATTCTATTCGCTTTGAAAGTCATGTATCTGAACAAAACGTGCACCAATTACAAAGTGCGAATACTTATACAAGGGAGTCATATCCGTATCATACCGGGTACCGACACTCCTCCAATATTTATCAAATACTTTCTAAACTTATCCACAATTATAAATTAATTTTCGTTAATTTTGAATAAGTATCGGATAAAAAACATACTTAAGATTGGGTTTGAGTACTTCAGTCATGGACTGGAATTGAAACAAGTTCTGATCCCAAGGCTCCATAGAACTAGTAAATGGCCAAGGCAAGGGCTTATTATCGACAGGGCCACTTAGGCAAGGTGTTTTGTTCACAACATTCTATTCGCTTTGAAAGTCATGTATCTGAACAAAACGTGCACCAATTACGAAGCGTGAATACTTATATAAGGGAGTCATATCCGTATCATACGGGGTATCGACACTCCTCCAATATTTATCAGATACTTTCTAAACTTATCCACAATTATAAATTAATTTTCTTTAATTTTGAATAAGTTAGTATCAGATATTTTGGGAACTCTTAAGATACCGAACCATCTTGAAATTAAGATGTGACATTTTTTATGTAAAATTAGAACTATTTTTAGAATAATGCAAGAATAGTTTTCAACATTTTTGCATACTCCTTGCATGAGAAAATTTGAGAAATAGTGTGATTAAAGCATGTCAAATTTGGGCTAAATTTGTGTCCACATAACAAAAACCCTAATCTTTATTTATTTTATGTACATACATTACAAATTTGAAAGTGCAAATATTTTATAGAAAACTAATGACATAGTGTGTTACAAATATGTTATTACACAATTACTTTTTTATACCATTTATCCTCAATGCATCTGTAGCTCACATTGTTAGAAAATTTCCATATTCAATGTATCCATGCTTCATAGTGCACCAATAAGCCTGTTGAGACAAATATTTTATGCCTCCAAAGGTTTTCAATAACTTGCATTCTGAGACCATTAAAGGACTTTACACATGGTTTTTGTGTTGTACGGAAATCATACTTTCGTTAATAAAATGAAACTTCTAACCCATTCAATACTACCATATAAGATGGAAGCAGATCCAGTTTATACTGAATGCTAAATGAGGCTACTAACTCACACATGCTTTCCTTAACATTCTTTTCGATGTTCTTGTTCAAGAAAATTAAATTTGCAACAGTTTGAGCTTTGAAAGCCAAAAAGTAGTCTGAAAATGATAATCAAAAAGTATGTAAGTCAATTTCAAAAAAAGGAGAAGAATTGTTCCATTTTTACCGTCTTGGAACCAGCCAGAAAAGTGTTGGAGTTTGGAATCTTCTAATTCTAAGCTATTCATGCCCTTTTAAAGGTTAAAGCAAGTGCCCTTCCAAAGTTTTGCCCCATCTTTTTTCATTTCCCCTAATCTCCATTTTCAGCATCCTCTGTTCAATTCCCTCTAGTTCATACAGTTTATATCAACTCTAGAAAGTCTTAAACTAACTGTCTTAGCTGTGTGGATCCTTTTTGCTTTCAACTCTATTGGTGGCTACCATGTCCTCCTCCAATTCTAATCTCATAACATAAAATCCTAATGTTGTGTTTGATTGAGGGATTTGAAGAGGGATTTGGAAAGGGAAATGGAAAAGGTAGGTGAAATATGAATAAAACATGCCTAAATTTCACATAGTTTTACACACCTTTTCCCTTTGCCTTTCCAAATTCTTTCCCAAATCCTCCAACCAAACACACCATAAAAGTGTCACCAAATTATATGGAACACTACAAATACATCCATTTTGATAAGCACGTGAATGCCAAAGAAGAATATTCCAAAATGAATTCTCAAAGTATTCTATCGATTTTATCTAAGAGTCTTAGACTACTCATTAAACATCTTCTAGGTAGCATAGACATCTTTGATCATCCATTTAAACAACAGGAAACGCTTTTCGAGGAATCAAAGGTTTCACCATAACATTAAAAAATCGCATACATCAAACATTTTACTGAAACTAGTGTTTACTATCTATGCTTTTTTTATATTATGGAATGCTGTATTTTGTGACATACACACTTAACCTGCATATGACAATATGTAATCACTTTCTTTGGATGGTATTTTATCCTGTGAGGTACTGAGACAAAAGTGAAGATAGTTTTCTGAGCAATTTGAAGATTGTCTTCAATATCTTGAAGGTGTAATCTTTCTCCCCCAATTCTCATTGTTATTTCTGACAATGTACCTTTATCTTCTAGTGTCCCTGTGTGTCAGTTCCAAATTCTAACTCAATAGTCTGTTAGACAACACACCAGTTACTCCAAACTCTTTTTGTCATATTTTTAGTTTAGTTTCCTTTTAATCTCTATTGTGATATTAGAATGGCCTTCGCTAAATTCTAAAACCCTTAAAGCTCCTCTACATCAAAGAAAATCAAGATTCAAGAGTTAGACGAGCCAAACCAAGCCATCTTTCCCACTCAAATGGGATTGACTACATGAATCATTTTTCATCATTCTGCTCTGTCAAAGGCTATATACTTAGTTAAATTCAATAAATTTATATATGTTTTTTACTACCACATTTCACGTCAGTTTAAGTCTCTCACTCCTCTAACATTGTCATTTATGGTAATTATATCACTTTCTACCAGACATTGTTGTAGATAGCTAAACCACCTGAACATGCTGTCTCTAAACTTATCATCAATCAATATTTTTCACCAATAAATTCATTTTTAATTCAAGAGCAAGACAACTAAATAAAAATCAAACTTGTTAGTAGGAAACATAAACCTGATTAAAATTCAAACACACAATGACATTGACAGATGAATTTTAGGGTTTTAAGTGGTAGGAAAAAGGAGTGGGAATTGATAGATACATACTTGGCTGAGCGGCCCAACCCTGTTCACCACCCTTAATGCGCTCAGGGAGGGCATAGTTGACGGTGAGGACACGGCCGTAGAGCTCAGCACCGTCCATGTTGTCCATGGCGGCGGAGGCGTCTTCTTTCTCCAGAAACGTCACGAATCCGAATGACCTGTGTTTCTGAGTCGCCTGATCTAATGGCGTCTTCACATCTTTTATGTCCCCGAACGGTATGAACGCCGCGTGAAGTATCGATTCATTCACCTCCTCCGCCAAACCCCCTAAATTCAAATTCCCACCACCAGCACCACCACCACCATTACTATACTAATACATACACATATATATAGATTTAGATGTATCGATTGCTTACCTACGTAGAGAGTGTTCTTCTGAACAGGTTGATTCATTGGACTGTTGTCTCTCTCTCCTCTCTCTCTCTCTCTCTCTCTGAGCTCAGTGTCTCCGAAGAACAAGAACAACTGTGATGGGCTTTTTGTGACAATGGTGATTATTACGTCAGTCCAGTTCTATCTGGATGTGTGTCCACAAACATTGACCCAGCCCACCTAATTCTCAAATTATTATTTGGCATTTCTTAAAATAGCACATTTTTTATTTTTTTATCTTTTTTAAATTACATTATTATTTTTTTATTTTTTTTATTTATCTTTTTTGTAAAAAATCAATACACTTAGATGATAATTACCAATACACCTTAGCTTTATGAAAAATATATATATTTGATTTCATGAGGTTTTGAAAGATGTATTATTTAATCAGATTAGTTTTTTTGGATTGCTATGTATTTTTTTTTAAGACCCATTAGCCCAGATTTGGCTTACATTTTTGTCTTGTCTCCCACAAAAAAGTTTGTTGGAGAAAGCCTGTGAGTAGGTTGGACATGTTTTTCACAAGTTGGGCCAACTTGGAGATATGCGGAATGTTTCCATTTGGTAGTCTATGAGTAAGGTTACGTGGTGCTTTACGATAGTAATAGTGTGGTGTTTTATGATAGTAATAGTGTATATTTGTATTTGGAGACACGATATAAATAAAACAAATGCGTAAAAAAGAAAATAAAAAAATAATAAAGAAATAAGAAGGAAAATAAAAAATAAAAGTATAAAAAGGAAAGAGGAAGGAAGGTGGGCAGGAGAGAGTAGGAGTAGGCGCGGGTCGGTTGCGGCTACGGAACCTCCAACTCGACATTCGTCCGTCAGATTGGTAGATTGGAGAAAATCAATCTACATCCGTCTGCCAATCTGGAAAATGTGAATTGAGTGGATTGGCAAATTGACAGATAGATACGAATCGGTTTGGCGGTTTAAAATTTTATAAATTTTCAACATAATTCAACTTGTACACTTCCTCAAAAAAAAAAATATATATATATTACAGTCAATGACTTAAAAAAGTATTACAATCACTGCATGTCTCATCCAAAAAAAGAAAGTTTGAAACTTTAAAATATTACAATTACTGCATGCCTCATCTACATATTACAATCACAGTATGCCTCATCCACATAAAGTATTACAATCTGTGATTCTTAAAATATAAAAAACAATTCAAACCATCAAAACCATGAAAGTAGTAGAGATTGTATGCCTCTGTATTGTTATATCTATATTTGTTTTTAAAAACAAAAACCAACCAACATATATCATCTTTTTATTTATTATTTTTAGAGTTAAAACCAAAAAATATAGATAAATAATACATTTATTTTTTTCAATTCAAAAAATATAGTCAAGTTGAAAACTCTTTTTCAACAGAATATATTTAACAAAATATTTAGGTTAGGTTTGGCATCTTCTAAAAAATTTAAAAAGTCGCTATCCTATTTAAGTCACATCATCTTATTTAAGTCATATCACCTCTCTATACCACATCACTTCAAACCCAACCCATATTTCATAAAAAGTTCAAAAGTGCACTTATTTAAAATATCTCAAATAACCCCTAAACTTTTTTTCAATTGAAAACATAAACAGAATATCTAAATAAATTAAAAACACAAAGGGTATGTTTGGTTTGGTTTTGGGAGAGTAGTTTTTAAAAATTATTTTGGGGAGAGAGTTTAGAATTTTTTTGGTTTGTTTGGTTGTGTATTTTGAAAGTAGTTTTGGGGTTTGGGAGTTTTGAATGATTTGATATTTTGTTATAATTGAGTAGATGCGTGTGAGAGAAAAAATGATTACGAATGAGAGAGGAGAGATAAAAAGTAATTGATTGATAGGTAAGAGAGAGAAAGTGATTTTGGAAATTATTTTGAAAAATTTATAAACCAAACAAATTTTTTAGAAATTTTTTTCTAAAATCACTCTACAAATCCAAATCAAACATACCCAAAGTCTTATAAATTATTAGGAGGTGTTTACGGTTTGGCGGTTCGGAGCGGATTGGAAAAAATTAATTCGTAATCGTCCACTCGTCATCACGTATTCGTCCAAAATGCGACGGATTGGTTTGATTCGGTTTGGGCGGATCGATATATCTGCTGCTCACCCCTAAGAGGGAGAGAGAGAGAGAGAGAGATAGATAGATTACATAAGTGAAAAAAAAAAGGGAGGGAAAAGAAGATGGGTGAGTGAAAATTAAAGAAATCTTGACCCTTAATGAATTTAGGAATTAATCTCAACTCTTGAAACAAAATATATTTCTACGACATTTTGACACATTTTTCAAAAATTCTCCTGCTTTATTATATAGATAATTGATAAAAAAGATGAAATATTAATTATTTGTATTACTAATTGAGGAACATAGTAATTAGTGAGTGAGTATGACCACATAATACTTCGAAATTATTATATAATTTTCCATGAAGGAGTTGGTTTGGTTTCGATTAGAAATAATTTAATCGTGATCAATTTTAAATTTAAACTTAAGATCAAATTAATCATGGACTAGATTTAAATCAATCCGACTCGTGAATTAGAACTATACTAGAATAACTCAATGTAACTTGGTTTAGTTCGGATCAAAATTATGATTTTATTATATTAAAAATGAATAAATTAATTAGTAACAAATAATTAAAATAAATAGGTCTTGTATGTTTTAATATAACACAAATAAAGAAGAATGAAATACAGCGAACAATTTGAATGAAGACCGAGATCATAAAAAAGACCAAGATTGACATCAATAATCACATATATGTAGTAGATTCTGTTGACAATGATTAGGTTCCATCAAATTCCTCCGACAAAGAGCGAGACCGAGATCATTAAAAAGACCAAGATTGACATTAACAATCACATATTTGTAGTAGAGTGTTTTGGCAATGATTAGGTTCCATCAAATTCCTCTGAGTAAGAACTTGTTTGGGAAGAATATTTAGATTAAAATAGTTATATAAGACAAAATAAACTATTTTAACAAAATAAGACAAAAGTTACAAACAATCCATAATCATTTCATTTTTTTTCTCATAAAAATAATTTTTTTTTATCCCAAACAAGACTTTTTAAATTCATGTTAAATAATTAAAAAATCAACTCACATTCCAAACAAGTTCTAATTAGATCAAGACATTAATATAAATAAATTTTTATTTGTGCATTTTGGGTTTAAAATCTGGTTTTGACTTTGAGAGCTATCCTTGTAAATTGGTCTGTAATTGTGACGATTCCAAGTTCGTAGAAAAAAAGAGAGAAATTTTTTCATAAAAAAGTAACAACGCCGTTGCCGAGAGCTATCCTTGTAAATTATTGGTCTGTAATTGTGACGATTCCAAGTTCGTAGAAAAAAGAGAAATTTTTTTTCATACTCGGGTGACAGGCGGGAATACTCACCACTATACTACAACAACTTTGTTGATCACAAATTCACAAATTTACATATATATAGCATATATATAATTTTTTGTTTTTCTTAATTTTCTCCTTCAAATAATTTAACACCCACACAAATACAATTGAATAAATAATCAAAACCCATGAGAAAATCACCCCCAATATATTTTTTGTGGATTGTTCAATAATACGCTCTTTTTTTTTTTTTGTTTGAATGAAATAATTTTCTTTAGATATAGAAACCCCTACCTATTTATTTTGTATAACTTAGTCGTTGGTGGTTTGTCTTGAGCGT